TATTTCATGGATAAACATAAACGAATATGTATGAAATGCCTCCATTCCCTGCTACAAAACATTTCCCTTTGAAGTCACCACTTAGCTAGTTTTGATCTGAGTTGAGCATTTAGCAAAAGTTAAAATGTAATGCCAAACTTCATTGGTTGGATTTTTTATTAGATAAGGTAGAAATGAAAGCAGCAGGCAATTTAATTAGCAGTAATTTTTCTGGGCAAGTCATTACTTTGATGAACTTCAGAGCAATGTTTATGGCTCCTAATTAACCATGTTAGTCATTTGATTGAATAATCACTTTGGAAATGTTTCTACAATTTGATTAGAGTCTGACCCACTCTGATGGTCATAAATTAACTGATATCACTTTAGGATAACATGACTTTAGTTACTTTAGGGGAATAAACTTCTCTTAGCCATATTTTTTTCAGGCTTCTCTGAACCATACAGAGGGCACGGATTTTAAAGATAGACTGGACTTAAACAATGCTGGCCAAGTGTCTCAATTTCAAGAGCTAGATGTTAATTTTATTTACTCTGGGGTGTAATCAATAGTATTAAGAACTGGCATAATCACAAATATATTCTCATGTATGCATTTTTTTCTAAATTGCTGTTCAGTGCTTTTTTGTTTAGAACTTAGGCCACAAGTTGAGCCTTTGGAAACGTAATGGAGGTTCCGGCATTAGCCATATTTTATGTCGTTAATTTATGATGACTTTTAAATCAGTATACTTTAAATATCATAGAATAATAAGTAGAATTTATGAATAATATTACAGAGTAAGTACAACAAAAACCAATAAATCAGCTAGTTCAATAGACACTAGTATTAGTGAAATTATCCATCGAATCCTATCTTTGATGTCAAATGTCTAGTTTTCCAGGATTATGATTATTTCATATGATGTTAGGGCGCTTTTATAAGCCGACCCTTCAACTTTGAATAGTGGGTTTCTCAGAAACGCTTGCATTTTCTTTCTTCCGCTTTTTCTCCCCCTTTGGGGAGGAAACTACATTTAGTCACGCTAAATATATAATAGAGTTTAACCTATACATTTCCTAGCTGCCTTCAGAGCCAGCCAGCTGTTTTTACAGCCACACTCCAGCTGGGCAGCAGTCAGTAAAAGTATTTTGTGGCAGGGTGTCAACATTGGTACAACAAAATGCTTGCCTCTAAGCAGCTGGGGAGCTGGTGGCAGAGTCATTAACACTCTCCTTTCCAGGCCCAGCTGCCTGAGGGAACTTACGCCTTGGTAATAAATCAAAATAACATGAAAAATTAATTTGAAGTACCATTGGTTAAAGAGTTGGGGTAAAATGCATTGCTAATCATTTGGTAACCCAGAAGATCAACTCCACTGCAACCCTATTGTAAGCACTGATATCAGAAAGCACGGTTTAACCCTGTAGGGTCAGAATTATATACTACATAATACTTTATATAAAGAAGGCGCAATATAATAAAGTGTTTGAAAATGAGTTTTACACTGTTTTCGGCTTGTAAGCTATTGATTGCCACATACTTTTCAATATTACTGCTATTAGGGATCGCCATTAAGCTATTTTTGACTAAAACCACATAAGATAAGCCTTTTCTGTGAAATAATATCTCATATTTTGGTTGATATTTATCACTAGAAAAAATTTTAGAACATCAGGTAGACTTTAAACATGGAACATTCCAGACCAAGAAAGAATGACATCTGGGCTAAACAGTGCTCATTATCTATTACAGCATGAAAGTCTATAGATGGATAGTTAAAGAGAGATAAGGGCCTTTGGATTCCCATTCATTTAAATGTTATTACTTGTTCAGAAGTTAAGTACTTATTGCAAGTGGTGGAAAGGAAGATATATTCTTATATTAAATAGCACACTTGTCATATATATTTTATACATTTATTTTTGTACATGTTGTTTAAAAAACTTAAGTAATACATACAGAAGATAGAATCAACTTAGTCACATGTGTATATATTCCTGTGGAACTTATATATGTTATATGTAGGGTTGGGCCCAGGTTTTCGGTACCTAAAACTTATAAAATTTGGGGAACCCCCTGAAAGAAAAAAAAGGAAATGACATATACAAAATTAGGCATAGGATTTCAGCAGGGCTCTTGCAAGTTGAGGGGCTTCTTTTTGTTTTGTTTTTTTTTTGCGGTACGTGGGCCTCTCACTGTTGTGGCCTCTCCCGTTACGGAGCACAGGCTCGGGAGGCGCAGGCTCAGCAGCCATGGCTCACGGGCCCAGCTGCTCCGCGGCATGTGAGATCTTCCCAGACCGGGGCACGAACCCGTGTGCCCTGCATCGGCAGGCGGACTCTCAACCACTGCGCCACCAGGGAAGCCCAAGTTGAGGGTCTTGAGGTTGAAATTTCACTGTCTTCACCATGAATAGACCTCTAGTTATGTGAGTGAACTTCTATATTCAGAGTTAAATAACTAGGGACGATAATAGACTCAGATAACATCTCACCCAACCCTTTGTTTTATATAAACTTAGACACAAAATGGCTTATCTAAAGTCATGTAGCTTTATTAGTAGTAAATGAAGGACTTGAATTTTAATCTTTTGTCTCTTAATCTATATATTTTTCCTTTTCTCCATATCTAAAGCTACTAAATACATTAGATACACAGCCATCACTATGACTCAAGTTTAACCATTAACCAAGTTTATTTTCTCAGGGATGAGTTAACTTGGTCACACAGGCAAGGCCTCACTCTTAAGGTAACAATTGTGTTTGCTAAGAAGTTGTTGGATTTCTCTTTTATAGTATCACTGGTTTTGAATCTGACCTGTGGGCTTAACAAAATGGAAAGCCAGTCATGTTTCTATCTGAAGAAAAAAGAGCAGTCACCTTACTAGGCTGGAGTAATTTTAAGAGATATAACAATTTTGTCTTCTCATAATAATTTCTAGCCAGTGTCCATGAAGTAAAGTATGAACGAGTCTTTTATTGATCTTTGCTTTGGATGACATTGAGTATACAAAGTTATTCCATACATGTCCTGAAATATTTTTTAACTCATGACACTGTTTGAGGACACAATCACATTTATGCAGGGTTGCTGGTAAAGCCACCTTTACTTTATTAAGGTTGGTGTGGGTAAAACTTTGAATTCACCTGCCTGTTCAGGAGAATCAGTATCCACCATGATATGCTTCTCATCCTTACGTTTCTTGTGTGGGCCCTGCCTGAAATGTTAACTATGTGTTGACAAGTTCCGCTCAAGAGACTCGTGTCAGTTTCTGTTACTTTTCCTTTCTGCACTCTGTCCACTGATAACAGCACATTTGCAGCTCCAGACATCTTTGACCGCTGTTGTTTCCTCTTGCAGAAGTGCCTAGCTGCCACTCCATTTATATGAGGCAAGAAGGCTTCCTGGCTCATCCCAGCAGAACAGAAGTTAAGTTTTCCACTATTGAAATTCTTGTAAATACCTGTCAACATAATTGGACATCCTAAGGATACTGTCAGATTATCATTATATTACATGGGGAAAATCGCTTACGTCCACTAAACCATTATTTTAAAACTTTTCTTTTTAAAGTAAAAGGAAGATTTTTCACGTCATGATCTCTTATATTTGGTTGTTAACATGAGTCATGTGCATATAAACAGCTGAAAAGTGGACTTCTCTGTTCTTTTTTGCCAGCAACTACATCCTTTTGAAAGAGAACATGTGCTTTTATAAGATCACCTTACCTTACTGCTTTCTACTGAAATGTATCTTTTAGGAATTTTCAGTTTTGCTTTAGAGACCTATGTCATTGTTTTGAAATAAAGCACTGTTGATTTAAATACATTCACCTTTAAATATCCTAGATTTTACATTTTGGGACAAGTAATTGTTAAGAATGGACTTTCACATAAGAGACTTAGAAAAGGAGTTTTCTTTTGTGGATGTGTTATGGTAACCGTGGGGGGAAAGTTTTGTTCTAATGGGCATGATACCTGCAAAGTAATGAAAATGAAAATGATTGTATCTGGATAGACTCCCCTTTAAAGTATTTCCGGAATTATGTGCATGGTCCTTGATGTCAACACTATGTATCTTCTGTGAATGACTTAGATCCATCCTTCTAGGTTGAGTCCAACATTGGTTGTTTTGTTTAAATAACATTAATAGAAGTAAATCCCCATGTTTAAAGGATAGTATTATGAGATGGTAAATCCAGAAAATATGAGACCAAAAATTTTGCACAAATGCAATATAATTATTGTTGCTATTTTTAATATTATGTACCTACCACAGAGACCAATACTTTTGAGACATAAAACTGTGACTAAACTATGGGAAATTTCTTCCTGGTGATGAAAGATAACAGCAATTAAATGAAGGTCCCACAGTCAAGGATATTTGGGGGAGAAAATGATTGTGAAAAGCTGTCAATTTATTTTGCATTTTTCCTATGGACTTAGTAATGTTACAGCAAAAAGGAAAGTTTTTTTTAACTGCCTTGACTATTGAAGATGAAAACACGAGAAAGTTAACCTAGCTAAATATTTCTCCAAAGAAGTAAGGGGGTAAACTGTACCTGTTTCAGTTCATCAGGGTCATAATGCAGGGTACATAGCAGTAATTCACTCTGATTTCCCTCTCATCTGGTTGAATAACAAAACTTGGAAGAAAATGGAAAAGGAAATGATACGTCATACATCCCAGGTTTGCCAGTGTTTACATAAGCTCTATGCTTTGGTTAGTAATAATATAAATTGCTAACTCTCATGTATTACCATGTCCTAGGCAGTGTTCTAAAGTTGCATATATTAAATCATTTAATCCTCACAACAACCCTATAAGGTAGATGCTTTGTTATCATTCCCATTTTATAGATGAGGAGACTGAGGCACAGAGGTTAAATAATGTGTCCAAGGTCACGGAGTGGAAAAGTAGAAGAGTCCTACCTCCGTTTTTGCGTTAATGGTATGTTTTGATTTATTTGTGAGTGTTATTTCTGTCATGAATAAATGTATTTCATTTCCCCCCACAGGCTGCATGTTTGAAAAGGGCCCCAGGCAGTTTTATGATGACACCTGTGTTGTCCCAGAGAAATTCGATGGTAGGTTTTTCATTGTGTATCAAGTTTTGATTTCTGTAAGAGGGCGTGGAGAGATCACCTTCGCCTCTCCTGAAAGCAGTCAACATCGCTACTTAACGATTTTTATGCCCGTCACTTACGATGCACTCAAGTCTCGCTAAACTTTGCCTCTTATAAATTCCCTTTCCTTTGCCCGTTAAGAAGCTTTTTTCTTTTGTCCTATCAGAGATCCCATTTTTAGAGTTAGACAGAGTATCATTCTTGCTGAGCTTTATGTAGAATAAGAGGGCCCTTTCCATTGCCCGGCTGAAAACATGCTGCTTGTTGCTTGAGATTTATTGAGAGCTGATCCCATAATTAACAAAGCAGAGGAGAAAGCATGCTACTGTGGATGCATGGATGACTAATGCAGGCTCTTGCCTTTTATTGTTCACGAAGAGATGCATTATGGAACACAGGAACAATACAGCTGCCCATTTAGTTAGTGATTGTGAGTCCTCCCTTTTTGTTTTTCCCCTGGGAAGATGTTCATTACTAATGTGACATTACTTTGTAATTGCTTCAGATGGAGTTAGGAAAGCATCGCTCTTTCTTTCCTTTTTTTTTTTTTTTTTTTTTTT